TAACCAGTGACCATGGACAACAGGGGGGTGGGGGCATATGTAGAGAGGGGTTTGGGATGGGAATGGGGGAATGAGGACCATTATGTGATACCAATCAATTAAAAAAAAAAAAGAATACAAGAGGAGGCACAAGTTTTCAGGTAAAGAGTGGGAAGAAGGGAGGATTGAGGATAAGGTCAGTTGGGGACATACTGAATTTTAGCTGCTTATAAAACACCTCAATGGATAAGTCCTGTGGGAAATTGAAAATCTGAATCTCCTCACTCATCTTATAGCTCACAGCTTTTTCTAACCTCCGTCTGACAGAAAGATAGCTGCTTGAATGTGGAAACTTTCCAACTCATCTTCCTTATCTTAATTTGGATTTAAAGTCCTCCAAAGATGTAAGTTCTCTAACTTAAGCTAGTCAGACCTTAATGCTCCAGACTTCCCAGCTTTCTGCTCTTGCTTGAAAGGTAGTAGTTAATAACAGAGCTCTGGACCAACTCAGAATACTGGCTCTGCAACTTTACCCCGGATGTGTTTAGGAAAGTAACCAAACATAGTCAAACCTCAGTTGACTCATCTGTAAAATGTAAACAGGTGATTATCTCAGCTCTGGCTAATCTGAATATATTATATTTATATAAATGAAGCCATATTTATAGAACCTTGCACATGGAATTGCTGTTGGCCACAAGCAGAACTAATTCCCACAGCTGCACTTTATAGCTTGCTACTGAAGTTAATCTTCCAATCTTAGATTCTAACTCACTGCACACATGAGCAAGTAAACAGATGGATATAGCTATAGCACTTTGAAATACTTCACCATCCCTATCTTTTAAACAGGTGTCATTTTCACTAAGATAAGTATTTTTTCTACGTACCTCTTCACTCTCTCTTCCTTTACACTGATTTTCTCAGATGGGAACAATTCATTGGCTATGCCTACCCTAAACAAACTATATAACCAGAAGTCCATTGCAACTATCATTAGATTTAGATACTGCATTTTTTTAATGGTGATTTTATAGCCTTTACAGCAGAATGCAGCAATTTGAAAAGAAAATTAAATGGGATATTTTATCACAGTCAGACACCAGGACTTGAGTTAAATGATGGACAAAAACTTCAATGACTTGTATTCATTTCTTGAGCCCAGAATCAAATCTAGATAGGCATTTTATTTATTGTATTCGTGGACACATTTTCGTCCCAAACCTATATATTTTCTAAACTACTGCATCATTATTGAATTGTCACTTCATTAGTTAAAACCCACAGTTTACTGACAAAGCCATTGACCTATCATTTAACTTTTTTGCTTTCAACAGAATCGGGGTGGGAGTAAGAGGCTCACCTCAGAAAACAAAAGAAAATGCTTCAGCAATATCTCAAACCTTCTCTAAATATATCATTTTCTTTTATATGCCAAATTGCATAAGGAATTTGGCATATAAAAGAATTCTCATTCCAAATGCATACAAAATACTAATGCAAACTTCTACTGAGTATTTTTCAGCGATTTGTTTTTCAAGGCTATCATACCTAATGGAGCTCTCCTAAATGAATGGTGTCCAAACCACCCGGGCCTTTGCTCATTGCTGTTTTCTTCACCTCAACTGTGTCCTGCTACCTCAGCCCCTTTTCTACCATACACACTTTTACACATACTTCAATATTCAGCGCAAAAGTCACCTTCTCCAGGAAATCTTCATTTCCCCAAGAAAGCTTTTAGTGCTTTCCCCTTTGTCTCACAGATCTCCTCTCCTACCTCCACTGTAAGTCTTTAAATTATATATCTGACTCCTTCACTAGATTCTGAACTTTTGGAGGGCTCAGACCCTATCTTTTACATCTTTCTATCACTGTTGCCTAGCACAGTAACTGGGCATGTGCTCAGGTTTATTGAATGAATTTACACATGAACAAGTAAATGCTTGGGATCAATCAATGTCCACCACTGGGTAATAAAATGACTCTAAATGGTACATTGCTAGGAAGATTGATCTTTAAGGAAATATTCGCACTTCTTCCCACCATTTGACTGTCCCCATCATGCCCCATCCCTCATCAGGGTAAGCAGAATAGGGACTCATATACAATGGAACTTGAGAACTGTAACCAGCTGCTTCAATTTTTAGAGACAATTATCAATTTCAAAATATTCAAAAGCATTAACTTGTAGAATGCTTTTGTTTTGAGTCCAATTAATAAAAATAGAATTTTTGAGAGTTCCCAAGTAAACAAAGAAATCCACAGACCCTCTGCCTCTTACCTTTTCTGAATTCCAGATGGTTAAGGAAAAGTCATGACATAGTCATTGCATAAACAACTAACCCAAAGACTCATGGGAAAGAACAACTGAGAGAGAAAATTACCCTCAGCTTCTTATGGAAGTTGATTAGGGATTCTCTGAACTTTAAATTTAAGAATATTAACCTTTCTGCATAACTATCTCAGGACTATTCTAAGATCGGCGATAAAAAAGTTTGGCTTCTTCAGGCTGTTTCTAATCAGGACAACCCAAAGCCAGGGAGCAACAGAAATCCATTAGAGGACCAATCCATCAAATTCTTTGAACATGGACAGTATATCATTTAATATTCATAATAAACTTGTAAAAACAGGGTAAGAGTTATAACTCTATCTCAAATGGCCAGAGAAGGTGGACTGACTTGCCTGATGCCACAGAATAGCCAAGTAAGAGAACCTAGGTCTTCTGACTCTGAGGTGCTATCATCTATATCAGACCATTTAGTTTCCATGTAAATAACTAATCTTCCAAACAAGAACATCAACTTTACCCAGAAAGGGATTGTGTATGCTTATCTTGCCTTTTCTTGTACTCCAATGCCTAGCACAGGGCTCAGCAAAATAAAAACAGGATTGAGCTATACCACTCTTAAAAATCAGTGTTTGATTACCAGGTTTGTAGATGCAGTAACAAACCTCATAGTACATGCATAGTGTATTTCTGGCATCACTTGAATGGCAAGCTCAGACAACTCTGGACATTTCTCCTAGGTGTTCACCTTGTTACCGATTGCCGCTTTTTCAAGCTACTCAATTGTCCAGTCACTGGTTTGATCTAGTTCTTCATTTCCTGTAATGGATGTACTCAGCTTGAAAAGAAAAATAACTATCAATAGATGAGCTCCAAATTCAGTTGAAGAATGGATATGATGTGCCCAGTGTCACATAATACATATTTGCATATAAATAAGGTCATTCTCAACTCTGGCTTAACATGTTCTTTTTCTAAATGGTGTTAACATTTAAATTTTTTGTTAAAGTATAGTTAGCATACAATAATATATTAGTTTCGTGTATATAAAAATTATTTGATATGTATATACCTTGTTATGTGATCACTACACTTAATTTTGTAACCAACTGTCACCATGCCAAATTAGTACAATTCTAGAGGCCTGGTGCACAAAATTCATGCAGGTGGGGGGTCCTTCAGCCTGGCCTGTGCCCTCGGGGGATGTCTGCAGGGATTGGGCCTAAACTGGCAGTTGGACATCTCTCTCGCAATCTGGGATGCCACGTGCACCAGTGACCATACTTTTCATACAGGTGAAATGCATCCTGCTGTTGTATGGGCAGCTACATTTTTTTACCCTGATTATGAAAAATAGTACATAACATGATCCTTCTAAGGCAGTAGTGCCATTTTCCCCATCTTATGGGTGGAAAAACTGAAGCAGAGAGAAGTTAAGTAATTGGCTTTGTCACAGTTATGTCAGAATCAGGGCTAACCACAAAATGTGCAAGCCAGAGTCCATGCATGTCATTGCTGCATCATCCTGTTTTTTCAGTGTTAGAGTAGCCTTGCCAGGTTTTAATTTTTAAATCTAAGACACTGTTCCCAATATATAGGATAGGGTCCCTAGGCTTGGCTGGTGATCAGGGCCAATCTGCGGGGCAACTGGCAGGCTTGGAAATCGGGGAGCCCCCATTAGCACCCACCTTGGCTGGCAGCCTGGCACCACCCACTCGCCTGCCCCACCTCCCAATCGCCACTGCCAGTCACCTCCCAATCAGGGGCAGTTCCTGCATTGAGCTTCTTCCCCCTGGTGGTTAGTGTGCATCATAGCGACCTGTAGTTCTGCAGGTCATTCCACCCTTTGGTTGATTTGCATATTATGGTTTTATTATATAGGATTACTGACTATATTCTCTGTGCTGTACACTACATATCCACAGCTTGTTCATTTTATAACTGGAATTTTGTACCTCTTATTCCCCATTCACCTTTTTCACACACACACCCTCCTCTCTGGTAAACAAGAGTTTGTTCTCTATACCTATGGGTCTATTTTTGTTTTGGTCCATCAATAAATGAATTAAAGAAGATGTGGTGTTTATATACACAGTGAAATATTACTCAGCAATAAAAAAGAATGAAATCTTGCCATTTGCAACAACATGAGTGGACCTAGCGGGTATAAGGCTAAGTAGAATAAGTCAGACAGAGAGAGTTAAATACCATATGATTTCACTTATATGTGGAATCTAGAAAAACAATCCAAATAGTGTTAACATATTTAAAAAGGGAACTTCCTGCCTTTATTCAAAATAATGGTTTAATGGTGGAAATTGTAGCTGGCTTAGGAGAGGTAATAAATTGGAAGCTGTCTCCCCCAGGTAGGATTGGCTGTAATTGGAAGTCCCCAATGAAAGAGCTGCTAATGATCATTTAGTGGGGCTATGCATTGTCCCATCTGTTCTCATTTTATCCTTTGGAAATAGGAATCCTTGGAGATTGGGTCATCTACTGCTGTCTGTCATTTTGGCAGCCCTTTTGGTTTGGCAATTGTTTCAACATGTTTTATGACTGATTTCTCACTGTTTCTATATGGGTTGGGTTAGAGGATGTGTCTCTAGTTCCATGATAATTAAAGGAGCAGGGAGGATATTTCTCCTTGGGACTTAATTGGCACCATAATCCATGCCCCAGCTTATTCAAGTCCTAAATTACTCCAAGAAAACCCATAAAAACTTGTCCATACCTAACACATTGACTCTGAGAATGCCTTGATTGTTGCCACTAAAATCTGGAGGGTTGTTAACATCGCAGTTGTAGGTGCCACTATCTGCTGGTTGCATGTGCAAAATAGTGATGGATGCATTATCTGGCTCATGGGATGCGACAATTCGATCTTTAAATCGTCCAATGGATGCAGCTTGTCCACCTTCATAATAGTAAATCTAGGACAAAAAATGAGAAAAATGAGAACTGCAATATGTCCAGGGCAATGATAAACTACCTGGGAGCTCCCTACACAGTAGCATTTTATCCCCATCAGGGAACAGGTCCCGGTGGCAAAAGTTTTTCAACTCAGTGGAATACGTCAGCTTCCTCACAGCTTTACACAGCCATTACCTCATTTGTTCTCAAAGTAGCTTTGTGATGTCATTAGAGCATCAAGGTATCATGGTCTTACATACAGTAGACAGCTGGAGCTGATGGGATTCAACTCTTAAGTTCAAGAGATCAAGATACTCACCTGATGAGTCTACTTGGATGAAACATATTTTATAGGATACAAATGCCTGGTGGGAAATTCAAAACCAGCATATCCCTTCCCCTCCCCCCCCCCATCTCATATACACCCACACTTTGTAAGCTTTTTAAAAATTGAGTTTATTTTACTCAGTGGTACTATCTCGTTTCCCTGAAAGTTAGAATATTCATGCTTTCAAACACACATACTATTTTGGATAAGCAAACTTGGGTTCACCGTGTTAGAATACCATTTCAAAAGAGAAAGGCTTCTGAGAAATCATCTAGTCCCATTTCCTTGTAATGGTGGTAGGGGCTGGAACAATATAATCCAGAAAAGGTTCTAGAAGGTGCTTAGTCAATGGAGCTACTATCTTTCTCCCCATGTGGCCGGAAGCAGAACTGGAATTATCATTTCAATAAGGGCATTCAAATCCTAAGAAATTAAATGACTCATCTAAAGCCATGGGATTTTTATTATTATAATTTAGTACATTTAAGAAAGATCTCGATTCTAGTCCCATCTTTATTTAAGAACATGGATATTTATATCATAACGGTAACTGTTGGAGCAGCATGGTGAGGTAGAAAGAGGCCTGGGTTTTAGCTATAGCTCTACCTCTGACTAACTGTGACAATGTCAAAGGAGGTGGCCTCTGGTCATGTCTCCATGGAAACCCCCTTTGTGATAAATAACAAAATTATTTAATCTTTCCAACCTTTAAAATTTTCCACATCTGAATATCCAAAGCAATATTCTCCTAAATATGATATGTATTCCCCAAGTATAGGCACATAAGTTGATTTTAGGTATTATATAAATGAAAACTTTTTAGAAAGAGACATATATGGCACATTAAATCTGTTAGTTCATGAATATTATTGCTTAGGCTGAATCTAAGATAGATATATAAAAATTTTAAGAAACCAAGTTAGTATAGAAAATATTAAATTAGCCCAAACCGGTTTGGCTCAGTGGTAGAGCGTCAATCTGCGGACTGAAAGGTCCCAGGTTCGATTCCGGTCAAGGGCATGTACGTTGGTTGCGGGCACATCCCCCATAGGGGGTGTGCAAGATTTTTCTGGTCGATGTTTCTCTCTCATCGACATTTCTAGCTCTCTATCTCTCTCCCTTCCTCTCTGTAAAATATCAATAAAATATATTAAAAAAAGAAAATATTAAATAATATGGCTTGTGTATACAAATATAACAAGAATCATAAAGACAAGACATGACTGACTGAAGCTTTGGAATCACTGATCCCTGGGGTTTCACAATGTATGTGAATGTGCAGTCTATATACACACTTTATTAGTTTCATACAAATGTGTGTAATTGAAATATTTATTATTCAATAAATGATTACTGCCCTAGTCCAGTGGAACTAATTAATATTTTCATAAAATCTACTTGAAGAGCTTTATGGTTCATTTAATTCACTCTCCTCACTTTATAGTAGAAATTGAAGCACAGATAAGTTCATAGTTGAGACAGTTCTAGAACGCAGTTCTAATTTCTTGTGCAATGCTCCTACCTTAATAGGCTAATGAGAGCAAGAAGGTGATCAGCAAGCTGAAAGATGTTGTCTAGATAAATTCAAAAGCACTGTCTTTCAAGCAGAAAGCCAATATATTTTTAAACTAAGGCAGAAAGGTAGATTTTGAGGGGGAAATCAAAGGAAAAAGCATATTTAAAAAGATAACAACTTGTCTCTCTCCTCTGGTTCTCTAATATCACCTAGCTTTCTTTTCCTGCCCTAAAATGAGTCACTTATAATTCAATTCATCCATTCATACCTTCTGAAATTACTAACTTTTCTCCAGATGGGTGCTGTTTTACTGACAAACCAGAAAGCCAGTGTTAAGGTATTCAAGTGAGCCAAGAGGAAGTTCAACTCCTCAAATGTCTATTCCCTTCATTTGTGTTGACATTTAAGATATCTAGCTTTTCATTTCACTAGCCAATATCGGCTTATTTACTTTATAATCAACTACTTGAGATCCTGTGGATTCTTATCTGGGACACAGCCGGCAGTCCATGAAGGAATCCCTTTACAACTTTAACATCTGATTTATTCCCCTGTTCCCAGGAAGACTGGGGGTAGGACAACCTGTTTTATATTGAGGTTTGAAGACACCACAATGAGATATGACACCAAGACTTACTGTGGATCACAGTAAGTCTCGGAGGATCTAGGTGAAAGGGCTTTGTTTCTGCAGGAACAGGGGGCAAAGAGAGTGTTTTATGCCAAGACTAGGACATGAAAATAAGTCACTGTAAAATTCTCATATTTAGGCATGAATCAAGGTGAAATGATCAAATAATCATGAGATCCTGAACTTGTAACTTCCTTATGAAAAGGACCTTCACCAATCCTTCTACCCCAACTCCTCACACTGGAGCTTATATTTTGCCCTCTCACAAATAATGCTAAAAGGTGTCAGGGACAGGATGAGGTAAGTAGAGAGAATAATTGAGACCTAAAAGGGAAAGGACTTGGTCTTGGGATGCTGTGAAAGAAGGAATGTGCCCAGGGCTAGCCTGTTTTCAGACACATAGATAGACGGACTTTCTTTTGGGGAAGTCCACACTGTCACACTGATCTTATAAAGAAAAAAGAAATAAAATGTTTTCCTAAACCTGCTTATCTAATCATGCAGGAGGACTGCAACTTGATACCATTTTCACAACAGAATAATTCTTTTAAAAATCAAAGCTGAGCCAGACCAGTTTGGCTCAATGGATAGAGCGTCGGCTTGGGGACTGAAGAGCCCCGGGTTCGATTCCGGTCAAGGGCATGTACCTTGGTTGTGGGCATATCCCCAGTAGGGGGTGTGCAAGAGGCAACTGATCAATGACTCTCTCTCATTGATGTTTCGAACTCTCTATCTCTCTCTCTTCCACTCTGTACAAAAATCAATAAAATAAATTAAAAAAAAAAAAAGATATTACCTTTAAAAAAAAAATCAAAGCTGAGCCGAAACTGGTATGGCTCAGTGGATAGAGCATTGGCCTGCGGACTGAAAGGTCCCAGATTCGATTCCGGTCAAGGGCAAGTACCTGGGTTGCGGGCACATCCCTGGTAGGGGGTGTGCAAGAGGCAGCTGATCAATGATTCTCTCTCATCAATATTTCTAACTCTCTATCCCTCTCTCTTCCTCTCTGTTAAAAATCAATAAAATATATTTTTAAAAAATCAAGGGTGAACAATGATCAAGGCCTGGTCATGACCCTGTGGGGCTTATATACTTTTCAAAGAAAATATATTGTCAATTTAGAGATCAAAGCAATTGAGGTCCAGGAAAAGCCATGGATGTTCAATAAGCTACCTCCTTGGTAAGGAGGGGTGCCTCCTTAAGTAGTGCTTGTTAATTTTATGCCCACTTGCCCTTTGTGGTTGTGTTTATGGCAGACTTTCCTACTTTGCCCCCAGGGTCCTCTCTGCCTGTCCATTGGTGATGCTAGAGGCTGAATGTGGAATCACAGGACCATATTTGTTATATGACACTTGAGAGATCACTTAGTGATGGATTCTATGGTTGAGGAACCATAAGGAGCCAGATGGATATAAGAAATATGGTAAATGTCTGTGAAGGGCTGATGGATGGTGGTAAGATCAGAGAGAATACAATACAAACAATGCTTTGAAAGTGTGGAAACAAATAAAATTCTGGGCTGGCCATCCAACATGTATCCACTGGCCAAATCAGGCCCCAAGTCCTCCAGTTTATAACCTCTGATTCATCCTCCTATATTACAGAAAAGGACACTGAAACCCCTCCAGGAAGTAATTTTCCCAAGGTCACATAATTTATAGTCAGACATGGAATTCAGACCTCCCTCCCAATTCTCACTGAACATATTGAAATAGCACTTACAATCCTGACTTAGGCAAGGAAGATGATTTACAGGCAACATTCTCCTTTTGGGACCGTTCCATGTCCTACTCCAGCCTGACTCTTCTTCTGCCAATTGATGCTATTTATTGGCATGATACTTCTTCTCATGCTCAGTAGGTTCACCACACATTGCCTTCAACATCTGCCAGCTGCAAAAACTACCTTTCCTCTCCTACTATGCCAAGTTCATATTCACATGAAGCAATGTAGCTAAGAGCCAGATTTATCGAAAATGATTCTTTTCTCAACTTTGTGATGCTGCTCTCTAACTAGAGGTTGGAATATAAACAATAGGGTTGAAAGAATTCAGTCTACTTTCTGTTTGAGTCTAAGTTGCAGTTAATAAATGTTTTTAGCCTCCAGAGCTGATTTTGTGGGTTTATTTTGGAAATATGGAAGCATTAGAAGTCCACAGCAAACCATCCATTCATTCCCTTCCAGCCTCTTGTTTTCCTGCACTGTTCATAAAGGGGTGAACGACAGAAGTGGAGAGTGAGTGTTAGGTAGCAATGGTCTCAAGCCCAGAATTTTCTCTGGATTGTACTAGGAGAACTGGGATTGCATATAAAAGTGATGTAACACCAAAAGGAAGACTTTCTTTTCCACACCTTTCCCTTCCCAGCCTGCAATTTTCCTGAAATACCTAGTATTTAGGTAGCTTTTGGAGAGTGGAGACTGCTTAAATTATTTTCTTTGGAAAATAACAAAATAAATTGATACTAGTCCATAACACCTTAACATTCAATTAATTTATCAAACTTAGCAAAAATAGACTCCCGAGGGAATGGGACACAGAATAGGTAACCTTTGATGGGAAGGGACAGGGGGAAGGGGAGAACTTATAGAGCTTCTCAATGAGTGTTACACTGGCATTTTGGACAGACAACTCTTTCTTATATGAGTCTATTCTATGTATTGCAAGACATTTAGTATCTCCTGCCACCATCCACCAAGTGCCAGTATTGGCTCTCATTTATAACAATTAAACCAACATCCTTCCCCCTCATTTTAAAATGTCCCTGAGGAGATGGACACCTCTACTCTGTCAATATTTGAAAAGCATTTTATATAATGCTATCTGTTGAGAACAGAGCAGGTTGGGGGAATCTAGCAGCCAGAGAATATGAAGACACTAGATTCTGGAAAGGAATGGCCCACACTCTGTGTGTGTTGGGGAGATGAGGATGGCAAAGGGTTTCTTCTACTATGGTTATTTTAGAAGAGTAAGTATTACCCTGTTTCCCTGAAAATAAGACAGTATCTTATATTATTTTTTTCTCCCAAAGTTGCTCTAGGTCTTATTTTCTGAGGATGTCTTATTTTCGGGGAAACACAGGTATCTGAGAGACTCATATTAAGTAGAATCAAAGCCTGTTCCATTCACAGGCTGAGGTCTCTGAAATTTACCAGTGACTGGATGGATGGAAGAGGCGACTATTGTGATCAGAGGGGCACCAGACCACCTGAAACTTCTATGCTAGTCTGACCGTCCCAGGATCTAGAGTCTTCAGGTAAGAGTTCCTACTGAGGAAGTGATCAACTGAAGCTGTTCATGTCTTCCAAGAAGTGGAATTTTCTAAGAGGAGAACCATGGTAATGAATATCCTGGCCTTCCTGGTCAGAAGATTTGTGGGATACTTCTGTAGACCCTATTCGGCAAAGGAATCCCTTAGAGGAGATAGTAAGAGATAGCATCCTCCCTTGGGTATTGAAAAACATTGGCCTTGGAGCCAGCTGCTCCTTTAAAACACAATGATCTTGGTGGTGGGAGAATATGAGCCTATGGCAAGATTTGGCCACTGACCTGCTCAATAGGGCAGCAATAGGCCCTGACCTTTTGGAGGAAGCTGAAAAGAACTGCAGACATCATTATGAGAAGGCTGTCTCAGTTTTGTCCAGGATTTGTGCTGATCTGGATTGTTACCAAACTCAGACCCTCCCTTATCACTCCTGAAAGCTAGTACCATTGCCTTAGGGACTCTAAAAAATGAAGGGGTCCAGTAGTACACCAATAGGTATTCTTACCTGAGAGGTCCAGCTACATCTTCCCCGAGCGTCTCTTGCATGCGCCATTTTTAGACACTGACTGACTGCCTTTTCCTCCATACCCTCAGTATTGAGGCACGGGCTGTGCTGTGTTTGAGCAGAAATGGGTGGATCTGAGAGCCGAATGATATACAGGCACATCAACCCAGGAGATGAATTGAATCACTCAGTGGTCACTCTGGAAACATCTTACTCCCATAAATCACAGAATTGTCTAATAGCATATCAGTCTCCTTTTATCACCCCCCAAAAGTCCTACCAGCCATTCCTATATTAACATACAACATGCTCTATAGAATTCTGAATGCATGGATGTCTTCAAAGAGGAAACATTTGAAATAGAAGCCAAATTTTATTTTGGAAAAATATATCTCAAAGGAAGATATCTGCAACCTCTTTGTTGAGCAGGTCTTTGTTCAAGGTAAGGAGCAGGCTTAGAAGGGGCCTACCCCCTCTCTTTAGTCACAGGTACCTGGAAAACAGCAGAACTGGAAACCAATTCTGGGTCAGGATACCCCCAAGAGTTCTGCCCCAGCTGTCCAGCTATACTAAGTGTATTTTGTTGGGCTGGGTTTCTAGTGCCCATGACTCAGAGATATGGATGGAATGGGAATTTTGCAAAAATCACTATTTTGTGGGTAGTGTTGCTGACAATAATTCAACATTCACTGAATGATTATGTGGAAACCTTCCCAGTGCTACACAAACATTATCTCATTAAATCTTGCAGCATTATTCACAGTGGAGACAAAGTGTCCTGCGATAGGGGATTGGCTAAAGAAGATGTGGTACATAAGCACAATGGAATACTACTGAATCATAAGAAAAGACTAAATAATGTCATTTGTTACAACATGAATAGACCATGAAGATATAATGCTAAGTGAAATAAGTCAGAAAAAGCTAAGAACCATATTATTTCACTCATATATTGGATATAAAACTGAAAATTGTGGACACAAACAGAAGTGTGATGGTTGCCAGAGAGAAGGGGTGGGGTGTAAGGGTGAAGGGCACCTAATATATAGTGATAGAAAATGATTTGACTTTGGGTGGTGGACACACAGTGCAATGTACAGATCTAGTATCATAGACATCTACACCTGAAACCTATATGATCTTATTAACCAATGTCACCCCAATAAATTTAATAAAAACTTAAGCATTAAAAAAAATCTTCTCAGTAAACCAGGAAAACTGAACCTCTGAAAGGTCAAGTGACTTGTCTAAGGTCATCCAGCCAGCAAGTGATTGGAAGAACAATGAGTAGAACTGACATCCATTAGGAGTTTTCCACTGGGGCTCCAAAACTACTCATCTGGAAAAGCAGAGAGAAAAACATGCCTATAGTATATGGAGGAAAATAGGGAAGAACTCAACTTCTCTAAATGCAGAAACCTAAGAATAGTTATAATGGGGCTCTTGCTGGGGAAAGGGGGAAGAAAAGAAAGCCTGCCTTTTCAGGGGTGATTTTCACTGTCTCCAAACCAAGAGCGGGGCCCTACTCCACCCTGTCTTCTATGTGGCCAACACACAAAAATAGGACAGATCTCATGCTCTTCAAGAAATACCTAGAATGTTTTATGATCAAGCAGCATATTTTCATTGATCAAGTGGTTCAGTGCAGAAGAATTCCTTTGATTTGAACATCCTAAAAGAGTAAATTATTTAAATTACTTGCTCTGCCTGTGCCAGACATTTTGAAGACTGAGGTAAACGGCAAGTAAATAAGCTATTTAATAAACACTTATTTGTTGCAGAAACTGGTTTGGCTCAGTGGATAGAGCGTTGGCCTGCAGACTGAAAGGTCCCAGGTTTGATTCCGGTCAAAAGCATGTACCTTGGCTGCAGGCACATCCTCAATAGGAGGTGTGCAAGAGGCAGCTGATCGATGATTCTCTCTCATCGATGTTTCTAACTCTCTATCCCTCTCTCTTCCTCTCCGTAAAAAATCAATAAAATATATAAATAAATAAATACTTATTTGTTAATAGATTTTCTTTCTAAAGTTGCTCTAAGAGATGTCCCTAAGCTCAAGTCACACTCAGTTCAATACCTATACCTTCTTCCTCTGCATTTCTAGGTCTAGAAAAAAACTCATTGTTGGTCACAAGATCCTTTGACCCTGCATCTCCAAGCTCCTCACCAGCCATATAATTCAACCAAGAAGTGACCATGTAAATTCCAGTGTCAGAGAGGCATACAGAAGAATTTGCATTTTTTAAATCAGAGTGGTATAGCCTGGCATCCAAACAATTGAGTACATCTTTATTTGAGGACCAAGCATAAAAAGCATTTCAAAATATATTGGCAAGACCTCTCTAAATACAGCCCCTATTGGCAAAATGAGAAGGATTTAATACCTATAGAGAAAGAATATATTAAAAAGGCTAATTGGGAATGTAGATCTTAAAAAGGAAGAAACATTTTGTGATTATTGTCGCCCACAATTAAGAGAGTAGCCTTCTCTCTCAGTTGACTGCAACATGTGAGGTCTTAGGTTAGCACATTTTGGATGCTGGAAACTGGTGGACTTATTGTTGCTGCTGCTGCTGATGTTGATCACAGTGCTCATAAGGGTGAAAACTTACAGAATTTATATTATTTTCAACTATTTTACATACATTATGTCAGTTGATTCCCCATGCAACCTGTAGAAAACTATTATAATTCTACCATATTTTAAGTAAGGCACAGAGTAATTCAGATATATGTCTGAGCAAAATTGTTGAACTTTGACTAGAGGGTGAAATTGATGAAATAGCCTCTTGAATGGTATTTTCTGCTAAACAAATATTCAGGACCTCCGGTGAATAGCTAATTTTGCACCTCTAAAAGACTAATAATGGTTGAAGCAACTCTGGCCCAGGTATAGCTTCTTCAAGATAATGTCCTCCCTCTCCCCCTTCCCTCTCCTCCTCCTCCTCCTCCTCCTCCTCCTCCTCCTCCTCCTCCCCTCTCCTCCTCCTCCTCTTTCTTCTTCTTCTTCTTCTTCTTCTTCTTCTTCTTCTTCTTCTTCTTCTTCTTCTTCTTCTTCTTCTTCTTCTTCTTCTTCTTCTTCACCTCTCCCCTGGACCTCCTGCAGCCCGCTTAGCTGGCTCTCCCTGTATATTTCTACTAACAAAAACCCTTCATTTCCTTCAAGGCCCAACTCAGCTACATTACAAACTACATTGATTTATCTCTTCTCTAAACTTCTTATTTTGGATTATACATGGTTTTAAAAAAATCTTATGAAAGCCATGGACCTTGTCCCTCAAGGGATATCTGTCGGCATAAGTGCTTGCACACTAATGCATACACACACACACACGCACACACGTGCACACACCTGTGTTTAATACGTGGGTTAATTTAAGCATGGAGAAAACCTTGGAATAGACAGCTTTCTGGTAGAATCATTCTCCTCATTTGACTTTCATACACCTTCATCTGACAACATCTTCCCCCAGACTCTAACCTATCCTCCCTATTTTCTAGCTTCATGCTGCCTTTGATTATGAGAGTTCTTCACTACCTTGGCCCTTTTCCACCCATCTAGAATTCTCATTCCACTAGGACTCAGTTTGACTCAGTGAGCTAGCTCACTTAACAGGCAGATCCCAGATATTAAGTTTGACAGAGATCTACAGATCAATTAGGACATGAATTTGAACGAGGGTCTTCTGTAAATAACAGTGAGGATGATTTTGATGGGTGAAAGAAAATCCTTTTAAAACTGTTTACTTCACCACTGAGAAGGACCATTCCTATCTACTCTGGAATAACTGATATACTCAATGTCGACTTAAACAGAATTATGATAACAAGCTATAACTAAATATGAAGAGAGGACAAAGGCCAAGCCACTTACATGATGGTATTCCCTAAACAGACACCTTCAAATTTTTTTGTATCTGATGTTCTACCACTATTGTTACTGGTTTACTATTCCTTCATACACTGACTTCAACAGTTTATGCTAGAACTACCAAAGGAGAATAGTTTAGGAATAAAGTTCTTACAGAGATTGGCCGTGACTCCTTCTTATTGGATAATGACCACTGGATGGAAAGATTGTCCCTGGAGGCCACAGTGCTGGTGTAGGTGCAGATGAGAGTGACATTATAGCCAACAGTCACATTCACGACACGGTTTGGGATGGTCACTTGCACCACATTAACTTGACCTGAAAAGATAATCATCAAAAACGTAATGGTACACACTCACATTCTGATGATAATTATTAATTACAAAGCACTTTCAATGACATCTTATTTGAGGAATCCAAGGTGAAGAGGAAAAGGTAGAAGAAACCATACAGGAAAGCTGAGCAAGCAATTGGCATAGAGTAGGATAATTTTTAACAAATTACTATGTGAAGATACTCAAATCCTACATGATGATGAGGTGATAGCTCTGAAATATGATTTTTTTTTCTTCTGTGTAAGGATGGCCTTGAACAGAGGTTCTTAAAATGTTGTTTGGGGATCCACAAAGGTCCTTGAGTATGGAAAACAACAAATCCAGTTTTCTCAGATCTGAAGGATCCCTAGTATATGGGACTTTCCATTTTAAAACCAGATAATAAAAATAAATAAAACCAGTTAAGTCTCAATCAAACCATATTGGTTTACTAGGACTTTCAGTGCTTAAACCAGAAAAGTCCCAGGAAAACTAGGACAAGTTTGTTGTCCTATCTCTAAGATCATTTTGTTAGGCTAAAAGATCAAAATTATATTCATAATAATATTAAGATGTTATTTTTCAATCTCACCTTCTCATGAGTGTACACTGAAGACTTCTAGAAGCTACATGTTAGATAATGATGTCATTGCTCTTGTAATTAATGGAATGTGTACTTGAGTATTTTTGTGTTTACCTTTTTTGTTTTGTTTGCTAATACATTAAATATAGATTGAAATAGCCCACATAGCAAAAATTATTTGGGGTCTCTAATAATTTTATTTGAAAATTGTATAGAATTAAATTAATATACATACACACAAGTACAAGTAAAGATGAAGAAATATAAATAAGATAGGTGGATTGTATCAATGTCAGTGTCCTGATTGTGATATTATACTATAATTTTATAATATGTCACCATGGGGTGAGATTGTCTAAAGTGTACATGGGATCTCTGTCTTCTTAAAAAAATATTTAATGATTATAGAATCTATAGTGATATCCCATATTTCATTACTGATATTTGTGATTTATATCTTAGTTGTTTTTATTTTTTCCAATCTTGATAGAGGTTTGTCATTTTTGTTTATTGATTTTTTCCAAAGAACCAAAGTTTTATTTTATTTAATTTTCTCTATAGTTTTTGTATTTTGACTCCACTGACTTCAGCTTTTAATTATTTCCTTCTATCTGCTTGCTTTGGGATTGTTTTGTTCTTCTTTTTCTAGATCCTTGATGTAGAAACTTCAATTACTAATGAGACATTTCTTCATTTCAAATGTAAGTATTTAGTATTATAAATTTCTCTCTCAGCAATGTTTTAGTTGCATGTTACATATTTCTATTTTTATTCAGTTTATATTTTTAAATTTTTATTTGAAACTTCACCTTTGATCCATAGATTATTTAGAAGTGTGTTGTATAATTTCCAAGTGTTTAAAGACTTATTTCTGTTCTTGCTTTCTAGTTTGATAGTTGTGCTGAAAGAACAAACCCTGTGTGATTTCAATTTTTAAAAATATTTTATGTCTATTTTATGGCCAACTACATGGTTTATCTTGGTAAATGTTCTGTGGGTCCTTGGGAGAGGGAGAAAATGTATTCTGCTCTTATGGAGTGAATTATTCCATAATAAGAGATATACTTTAAAACATTATAAATATTCACCAAGATAGACCAAGTTATGGGCTATAAAACAAACCTTAATGAATTTAAAAGAATAGAAGTCATACAATGTCTGCTGTTAGACCACAATGAAATTAAAGTAGAAATCAATAACAAAGAAATTATCATAAGGACCCAAAATACATGGTGATTAAATAACATACTTCTAAATAAAAAAACAGGTCAAGAAAAAAATTTAATAGAAATTTTAAAAATATTTTGAACTAAAATAAAAATGCCACTTATTAAAGTGTATAGCATGTGTCAAAGTAGTCCTTATAGGGAAATTTATGCAATTGAATGCATATAATAGAAAAGAAGAATGACCTAAAAATCAATAAAGCTTAAGAAACTAAAGAAAGAGAGAGAGCTGATTAAATCCAAAGTAAACAGAAAGAAAGAAATAATGAAAACTAGAACAGAAATCAATGAAATTGAAAAACAAGAAATCAATTGAGAAAACTAAAATAAGTTAATCACAAAAATCAGTAATATTGATAAGACTAGATAAGCTAAGAAAAAATATACAGAGGACACAAATTACTAATATCAAAAATGAAAAAGGGCCATCACTGCAGATTCTATGGGCATTAAAAGCATAGAAATACAGAAACAATTCTATGCCCACAAATTCAGTAACCTAGATGAAATGGATTGATTTCCTGAAAGACATCATATTCCAAAACTTACACAAGGAGAATTATACAATTTGAACGGGCCTATATCTATTCTATATCTATTAAAGAAATTGAATCAATAATAAATAACCTTCAAAAATGGAAAGCACCAGGCCCAGATGGGTTCATTGGTGAAATCTACCAAATATTTAAGGAAGAAATTATACCAATTATCTACAATATCTTTGAAAAACTAGAACAGCAGAAGAATACTTTCTTACTCATCCTATGATGGCCACATCACCCTAATACTACAACTACACAAAGATAATACAAGAAAAGAAATTAAAAAAAAAAACACCTCATGAACATAGATGCAAAAATCCTCAATAAATTCAACAATGTGTAAAAATAATTCTACCCCATTACTAAGTGGAATTTATCCTGGGTATTCAAGCCTGGTTCAACATTTGAAAATCAATTAACATAATTCATCACAACAAGCTAAAAAAAAATGATATGATTATATCAATAGATGCAGAAAAAGAATTTGACAAAATCTACTATTTGTGATTTGTGATTTTAAGAACTCTCAGTAAACTAGGAATAAAATGCCTAAATGTTTACTTCAAAATGTCTTCAAAATGTTCAAAATATAATGGATAAAATGGGAATTTGATGGCCATAATTTGCAATTATGTTTAGTTTTGATGACCAAACTTTCCCCTAAAAATAGAGATTTTGAAGATACTACATTTGGCCATCATTTTAGTGTGGGATCCAATATCTGCTATGGAATTGACTAATGGTGGAAACTTAGGATCAGGTAAGGCCCAAAACAAAAAACAAAACAAAAAACCTTTACAGGATATTCTCAATGAAAGAGTTTGAAAGTAGGCCAAAACTAGTTTGGCTCAGTGGATAGAGCGTCAGCCTGCAGACTGAAGGGTCCCGGGTTCGACTCCGGTACAAGGGCATGTACCTTGGTTGCAGGCACATCCCCAGTAAGGGGGTGTGCAGGAAGCAGCTGATCAGTGTTTCTAACTTTCTATTCCTCTCCCTTTCTCTCTGTAAAAAAAAAAATCAATAAAATATATATTTTTTTTAAGAAAAAGAAAAAGAAAGAGTTTGAAGGTAGAGTAAGCACAGTTCTCACACAAGGCAAGCCATGAAAGAGGCCATGGTGCCTATCAACAAATACCTATTGAGCACCTTTTTGTGCCACAAACAACACAGACCCAATCTCTGCCTACCATTTCAATGCAGTAGAAAGCCATTTATAGCACAGAACAGAATAGAGGCACAAGAAAATCAAGGATTTTGGAACTATAAATCTGATTTAAACATTTTCAACATTTTAAAATTGACAACATATAATTATATAAATAATTTGAGATCTGTAAAAGCTCAACAATATCACCTTGGAATAAAGATGGTAACCTCTAAATCTACTGCAAGACAATATATTTTAAGAATATGTGCTCTGTCACATAAATAAACAACAATTGGCAAGATAATATGCCCAGACAATTTTAATGCCCAGATTCCCAAAACTCAGGGCTATAATCAATTCTTAAATTCTGAAGAAAAGATGATTTTCAGAAATTGCCTATCCATAATATAGTGACAGTATAATTCAGAGCTAAGAGCTATATTTTTCCAGATGAACTTTTAAAAAATGTTACATCATTCAAATAGTGTACGTTACTTAAACCTCTGACCTCATCCTCTAGCCCAGCACTGTGCATAGAACTTTTTGTGATGATGGAAATATTCTATCTCTATACTGTCTAATTCAGTAGCCATTACCCATATGTACTTATGGAGCACTTGAAATGAAGCTAGTGTGACTGAAGAATTGAATTTTTTAATTTTATTTAATTTTAATTTATTAAACTTAGCCACATGTAGACAGTGAACAGAACAAATTTAGTCTTAAATTAGAGGTGATTCTGTGAGTGTCAGGAGAAAAAAACTCTCCTTCCTTTGGATTAATTTTCTCTAAATTGAGAAATTGTTTAAAAATTGAAAAAGGGCAGAAAAATTTCTACATTAACAAAACTATGAATAAAGAGCAAAATAAAGATAAGCACTCAAGTGGAGGGAGGTGGGGTGACTGGATAAAGAAGATGAAGGGGTGAGCTAAAGGACATATATACATACCCCAAGGGAGGGGGAAGTGGGTAAAGGGCAGAAAAAAGGGTGACATCTGAACTTACATCAACATGAAAAATGTTTAATTAAAAAATTAGTACCTGATTTAAACAAAATTTAGAATTTCAATTTTATTCATGACCAGATTTAATTACATAAACACCAAAATTTGCATATGGTTAAAAATATGTGTGACTGCTTTTAAAAAATCAGTGCTATTATTAAAGGAAAATTATCCAAGGTGCATACACAAATTAACTAACATTCTAAAACTATTTTAAATACTTGTGTTTTGGTTGTGATTGTTCATTTATTTATTTAACACCTGCATTGTGGCAGGCACTTTGCTTATGGGGGGTTATTCTCCTAATATACCACAACAAAAATATCCTCTAAATATCCACATTTAACCTGACACATTTAAAGTGATTTAATTTCCAGCAACTTGATGTATAATGGCATCATTTTTTAGTTAGAAGATAACCAAATGATCACTCACTTTTTTTATTTGACTGCAAAACCAAAGTTCAAATATATTACTGCAAAAAACAACATACATTTCCAACAGGTGACTAATATATATTATAGGCACCTAACATGATATGCATAAACTTTTTGCCAAAGACATCTTTGATTAAAATTATTTTTCTAACATAGAATTTAGCCTAGGACTCCCTAAGGAATCACCAGAACGATTTTGGTTAAAATAAAATCTGCTTTGCTTAATTGTACAGAAAATTGTTTTCAAATATGTTGTAAAAATCATTTCTGGAACCATCACTAAGGCCCTACAGGGATTGACAACTTTAGCTCACGAGTTAGCTAGAACCCTGGAATTGAGGATCCTTTCTCCAATTCACCAAAGCAATGGTTTGGAAAGTGGAAGAGAGCGATGGTATCCATATTCACCCCTTTGACTAGGAGCTACAGTGATGGAATGTTACATCATCCATGTATTGTCCAAAGGTTAATTGAAACTGCATTGATCAAACAGTAAAATAGTCTTTCTCCTAAACACTGTAGAGCATGAAAGTCAATGAATGTTAGCCTAATTTAGAAAAAAGAGTTTAAATTTCAAAAAGGGGGAGAATTGTGAGAATAAACAAGTAATATTTTCTGTCAAAAAACATTTTAGGCAGCTGCCATTTTGCACTGTGTAACTTGGCAGCCACCATTTTGTCCAGTATCACTTGCAGCTCCTTTAGGGCTGCCATCTTGAAATGGCAAAGGTCAACCTCTTCCTTTGAATTAGCCAATCACAAAAGACTGTGGGCCTGGGCTTCAGTTGAGAGTAAGGGACAGGTCACATGCATCAGAATTAAAAAGCCATGCGGACCACCTGCTCAGTGTATGCATGGTTCCAAACCATGTGTGTGCACACCCTCCTGTAGGAGTAAAGATATGTGCCTTGCAAAAAAAAAAAAATCATTTCTGATTGTTTAGAGTTTGGGAAAGTAATTGATTTTTTATTTTTCCAGCTTTATTGACATATAACATTGTATAAATTTAAGATGTGCAAAAGGTTGATTTGATACACATATATATTGCAAAATGATTACCACCATAGGGTTAATTAACACTTCCATCATATCACATAATTACTATTTATTTATTTATTTATTTATTTATTTATTTATTTATTGGTGTAAACTACTTAAAATCTACCCTCTTAGCAACTTTTAGGTATGTAATATAGAATTATTAACTATAGTCACCATGTTGTACATTATATCCCCAGAACATATTCATCTTATTAGTGGAAGTTGGTACCCTTTGACTAACAGCTCCTCATTTTCCTCACTCACCCACCCTGATAACTATCACTCTACTCTCTGTTTCTATTAATTCGGGTTTTTTAGATTCCACGTAGAAGTTCAATCATACAGTATTGTCTTTATCTGACATTTCATTTAGCATAATGCTCTCATGGTCCATTCATGTTACAAATGGCAGGATTTTGGAAGGTTATTCATTCTGTCAATAAATATTTCCTTTGTGCCCACTATGTGCCTGGCACCATGCTTGATACCAAAAACATGACATTTTTTCTGACCAGGAAACAAGTTCAGCTAGCCCATCAAATTACACATCTATGGAAACATTACTAGTTGCTTCACAGCCATATCTGGATCAATTGATGGACACTACTAATGTCAGGTATAGATTATTAAAGTCTTTCTCTGACTTCTATATATAGGTAAGCATGTCATTTAACAATATACTGTATTATACCACATTTCCATTCCATCTGCTAGATTGTCACTACCATGTTTTGCTTGGGGTCAGCTAGACCGTGTATGTATAGATAGACAGTATACACAATAAGTAAGTTACAAACCCAATTTTTTAATGTAATATATACACTTGCAAAGGGGGGAAAAATTTACCCGAATTTGTGGTAACAATTGCTGGTGATTTTTATTTTCTTATTTATATGCTTCTATATTTTCCAACTTTTCTATGACCACACATGACATTTATAATCAGTAAAAATTATATATATGTTAGCTACAGTAAAAAAAAAAAAAAATCAACACACTCTTACAACTATTCCAAAACTGCTGTCTAGTATAGGCCAGATGAAGGCCTCACATAAAAAAATAGATGTTGACTACAGGTGTGATTTTAGAGGGCTGGTGTCGGAGGCCCAGGGGTGACCCAATTAGCTTATGACTGTAAGATCTTTAAAGAAAACAAAGACTTTCACTGTGTAAAGTTAAGGTTTGAAATGAATATTCCTGAGGGAAAGGAAAAATAGTAACATCTGTTTCCAGCAAGATGGAAATTGAGAAAGGCAGCTTTTTCCAGCTCTAAGTCCTGGTTAGATCATTGGATAAATGCAGTATTCCCCTCTGGTGACTCCATAGAACATGTTGGTTTAAGCATTTTATAATGGACATTTAAATAACTATTACTATAAAACATATAGTTTCAAAAAGTAATACTGATTTATTCTGGTTACAAAAATAGTATAATATTTTTTAAGAAACCCTGGAAAATTTGGGGAATAAAATTAAAATCATCTATGACTTCATCACTCAGAGGTTATCACTATGAGCAGCAATTTAGTATATAACCTTCTAAAAACTTATTCTAGGCATGTGTCTGTATCCTGCTTTTTCATTTAATATTTTATCCTGAGCATTTTCTTATATCATTAAATGTAATTGATAACCTCATTCTAATGACTGCCTAATATTATTGATGGCTTAATGATATCATTTTGGTAGAAGGAATATTATTATATCTACCATGGATATAATTTATCTTAAGAGCAGAAATATAAAAATATATCTGGTATTTGAAAAAATTAGCTAAGGATTTTTCTGACTTAGTGATCTCTTATGGGTCTAACCAATATCAGGATTTTTTACTCTAAAAATTATTTTCTTCTGCTCGAATCCCTGAAAACACTCATATTGGGCACAACAATAAATCACTCACATATTTTCCAAAATACAGGCTTAGCCTCAAAAAAGTACAAGTTCCTAAGAAATGTTAGATAGTAAAGCATGGCGGGCCCTCCCAGCCAGGCTCTGCCTGCTATAGCAAATCAGGTCCATCACAGGTAGCTTAAAGGAAATAAAACAATAAAATTCAAGTAAAATAGAAAATATATCTTTAGCACAGGTTTGAGCTTCTAAGTTCATCTGTTTAACTTCCAAAGTAAAAAAATATATAAAGAAAGGAAGAGAGAGAGAGAGAGAGAGAGAGAGAGAGAGAGAGAGAGAGAGAGAGAGAAGGAGCTGTGATTTTTCATTTAAATATTTTAAATTCAGAAGCTACATAAACCAATTCTTTTTACAGGCTTCCCTCCCAAATTAGCATGGCACATATTTGCTATGTTAAATTTCTAAAATTCATTTTACTCAGCATACTAATCATATGTCCTTTCCCGTACAGGAGGAGAACATTCTATGTAAAAATGTACAATTTCAGTTCAAAATGAAAAACTCCATTCCCAATTTTCTTTGGTGGTTTGGAGATCCTTTCCTTACCTACAAGGCAGTTTAGGATCAGAAAGACCTTCCAAAACGCAAACACCATGGTGGCCAAGTTCGTTGAGCGCAGCTGAGGACCAGTAGCTTGCTTGAGCTAGGCTGAGTCTCAAAGTGGCTTATTCAATCACAAGGAGGTTTGGCAGTCTTATCTGCAGGCATCACCGAACAAACAAGCTTTCTCAGGCTGACTTATTGGGTGCAGACCTTTCGCAGAGCAGATTTCTGTTTCTTTGAAACACTTTTCATGGGGCGTGTTTCCTTGATATATTTGCTACTGTGTTAATAATAAACCCACGTATTTAAATTCTTCAAGCTCTTTGTACACAGATTCTCTCAGTTTTATTGTTTAAGATCAATCTTAATAAAAGTTATACTTGGGGGGGATATAGTTGGAAGAGAGCCTATGCAAATAAAAGTTGGCAAGGCTAATTAATTTCAGATATTTCCATAAAGGTCTAAAAGCATTGATTCACTAACATCCTTTAACAAATTAAGACCATAAATTGGTGCTCTAAGATTTACTCAAGAGACGGGGTTCACAAGAAGGGCACAGGGGTTATGAAGCATTAATTTCCATGTGAACAAATTCTGAACATGTCACACTTTTTTGAAGCCCTGGTAGTTCTCATTACCGTCCATCAAAACTGGCAGTAAAATGAATTGCATGCTTGCCTTCCGAGTTAGAAGCCTTATAGCATTTATTAACTCACCTAATTTTTAAAAATTGGATGAGTGAATAAATGTTTTAAGACTTCCATTGTCGCTGTACAAAATCAATAAATAATATTTTTTTAAAAAAAGACTTCCATTGGATGAGTCTGAATTTTTGCAGAATTGGGTAACTGAATAGGTGCTACAGGACTTCCTTGGAAAGGGGGTTCACTAGGAGGGGAAAGGCAGGCTCCACAGATGGGAAGCCTTCATATGAACATGAGCTTCTAACAGAGTTCCTCTTGTGCTTAAGTTACCTTCAGATACATAAGCACCTCCTCTGGATCTTCCCCTGAGATCTCAAAGTCTTGCTGTTTCCATCTTTACAGTGGCTCTCTGATTTGTCCTTTCCCTAATCTGCAGTTTTCATCATGGTCCAAGTCCAGATCCTCAATCCCTGGCCTACTATAGCAGCTTCCTAAGTGGTATCCCTGACTTCTTCCTCCTTCATCCTGTGTACCAACTACGTGCTAATGTTCCAAACTTGACAAAATATCTTCAAAAACAATATAATGGGCTATTTCATCAACTATCAAGTCCAAAATCCTTAATTTCCAGAGTTCCCAAATCTTGTCCTCACCTCTTCTAAATTTTAGACACCTTTAAATTATCCACCTGAAAAATGCTGTCAAGATTTATTGCCTCAGAGTATTCATTCACGTGAAATATGTACAAGTTTCAGAGATATGTTTTATGGGAGATGTTTGACCCCCATCATACATTAGCCAAATCTATTTCCTATTGCTTCTCAGAAAGCCATTTTGCTTCCGTCAGGCCTGATTTATTCTCACAACCTGCATGCTCATATTTGATACCAAACCTCAGCTCCAGGTAACTCCCATCATTACTTAGAATTTTCTCCTCCCTGTTATTTTGCTTGGGGCCAGCTATTTAGATATTTAGATATTTGTTAATATCTAAACATATTCTTAGTACAGATCAGTCATGCTGTCCTATGTGAAAATTTCATAATACCCCTGTCAGGGCTTCCCCTTGGATAAATTCACATTGTATATAGAGCTAATATCCTCCAGTTGGCCCTGGGATAGCTAGGGAAGAGGGTATGATTCAAGGCTATTGCCAAAATACATCTGCACTAGAATGTCTCAGACACTCTAGAATATTTAGGTAAAATGCCAACACTTATATTATGTGGGACATAATTAAGACAGGTAGAATTATGTTAAAATAAACTCTCAGAGACAATCTGGATTTTCTGATTCAGACTGAATTTTTATGTTTTACATTATTGCTCAAAAGAAGTGGGTCACTAACTGATATATGAAATATTAAATATCTCACATTTTTACAGAAATTTATCATTTTTAAACTGCTTTTCCATTTTAACAACTGACAATAAAATAAATAGGTCAGGCATTATCTACACTGTTTCCATGAGAAAATGGAGGTTCAGAAACATTGTATCTCTCCCAAGGCCACATAGTACGCAATAGACGCTGTCCTTCCCATCACACAGCACAGTAGCACAGTGTAAATGTAATGTAACAAACATTCAACTGCCTCCTTTGGGAACTTTCAGAAATTTGCTGTATCTGACTTATCCCTCATTTTTTAACTTAAAAATTACAAAAGTAATACTTTGATTGTAAAGAGATTTTAAAGAACAAAGAAGTAGTCATGAGGATTTAAAGTATAGCATAGGGAAAATAATCAATAGTATAGCAATAGCTATGTACATAGTTATGGTGCCAGATGGGCAGTGGAAATATCAGGAGGAACACTTTGTAAGTATATGATTGTCTAACCACTGTGCTGTATACCAGAAAATAATGCAGATTAATGTATGTAAAATGTCATTAAAAACTTTAAAAATTAAAAAGAACAAAGAAGTGCCGAAACCGGTTTGGCTCAGTGGATAGAGCGTCAGCCTGTGGACTGAAAGGTCCCAGGTTCGATTCTGGTCAAGAGCATGTATCCTGGTTGCGGGCACATACCCAGTAGGGGAGGGGGTGTGCAAGAGGCAGCTGATGGATGATTCTCTCTCATCCATGTTTCTAACTTTCTATTCCTCCCTCTTCCTCTCTGTAAAAAATAAATAATATATATATTTTTAAAAAGTTTAAAAAATGAAACTTATTAGAGACAATTGTTATTTTAAAAAAAAGAACAAAGAAGTATACAGAGAATAAAGAGAAAATCTGCATTCTCTCAATAACATGTGTAATCCTATGCCATACTCACAAGCAATGGAAGTTTCAAATTTTTCTCAGACCTCTATAAATTTACACACAGAAACATATGTACACACATGACTTTTTTTCACATAAAATTAATCATAATACACATATTGTTCTATAATTTGCTTTTTAACCTTTAAAACGCATTTTTAATTATTTCTTTTACATCACAATGTACAAGTACATCTATGGATCTACACTATTCATTTTAAGGCTGCATGGTATTTCATAGTATGGATGTACCACAACTTATTTAACCATTCTCCTATTGATAAATTCTTAGGTCATTTCCAATTTTCACCAATATAAAATTGGTGAAATCCTTTTGCCTATAACTCTGCCCATTTTATGTGATTATTTCTGTACATTAGGTACATGGATATACAATTGCTGGATCAAAGGGTGTGAACATTTTAATTTTGGGTAGATTATGAAAAATTGTCTACCAGAAATTTTTTACAAATCTACACTTCCATTAAGAGTGTATAAGCGTACCTGTTTTTCCACAGCCTTGTCAACAATAAAAATCATCAGTGTTTCATTGTTATTAGTATCATAGGTGAAAATTGTTGTTTTAATCTGTATTTCTTTAATGAGGTCAAACCTTTTTTCATAGGTATACTGGCCTAATTGATGTTCCTTTACCTGTGAATTTCCTCTTTGTGGCCTTAAAGCATTTTTCCATTGAGTTATCTTTTAATATTGTAGAATTTTATATTTTATGAATCTTAATATGAATTTGGTATATACATCCTAAGTATTTTCTTTCAGTCCTTCACTTTTAAAAAGTTATCTTCTTACCAGAGGGGAATGGGAGTGGGGGAGGCAAAAGAGGGTAAAGGGGGGTTAAATGATGATGTAAAGAGACATGACTTGGGGTAGTGAACACACAATACAATATATATATATGACATATTATAGTACATCTTTTTAAAAAATATATATTTTATTGATTTTGTACAGAGAGGAAGGGAGAGAGATAGAGAGCTAGAAACATCGATGAGAGAGTCATCGATCAGCTGCCTCTTGCACACCCCCTACTGGGGGTATGCCTGCAACCAAGGTACATGCCCTTGACCGGAATCCAACTCGGGTCCCTTCAGTCCCCAAGCCGACGCTCTATCCATTGAGCCAAACCGGTTTCGGCTATTATAGTACATCTTAAACCTATATAACTTTATTAACCAATGTCATCCCAATAAATTCAATAAAAATAACATTTTAAAAGTATGTTTTTTACCATAAAGAATTTTGCATTTTGTTGTAATTAAATCTAGCAACTTTTCATTTTATAGCTTCTGGGTTTCATATCTTCCCTAAGACAGCCTTTCCCAATCCAAGACTATAGAAGTACCATTATATATTATCATTATATTCTTTCTAATGCTTCTATAATTATGTCCTGAATTTCAGTTATGGCAACTTTGTCCTTCCATTGGCCAAAAGTATTGTGTTATCCTTGACTCTTCTCCTTCTCTCTTGTACCACATTTAATTAATTCATCAGCAAATTCTTGGGGTTTGTGTTCAAAATATATCCAGACTCTGATCTCTTTCTCACTTCACTGCTAACACCCGGGTTTGAGCCACCAGCATCAGTTGCCTAGATCACTGAAATAGCTTCCTAACTGGTCTCTGTGCTTCCTCCATCTTCCCTTACAGTATATTATTACAGCAGCCAGAATGATCTTTTTATATATGTCAGATAACATCTCACTTTTGCTCAAGATCCTCCAATAGTTTCCAATTCCTGTCAGAGTAAAAGACACAAAATCTTTAAAATATCTTGGAAAACCCTAAAATAATATGCCTCACCCATTGCACATCTCTAGCCTCTTCTCCTACCATTCTTTCCCTTCTTACTCTGCTCCAGCCACACTATTCTTGTAGATCCTTGAACTAACCGGCGTGCTCCCACTTTTTAGTGCATTTGCACTGGCAGTTGCTTCTGTTTGTGACACTTTAACCCCAGATATCAATAAGGCCAACTCCCTCATATTCCTCAAGTCTTTGCTTAAAAGTCAGTTTCCAACTACACCTCCTTTGTTCACACATTTTAAAACAGCAGCTTTCCTTACTCCAGCCCTACCTTTTTTCGTTTTCCGTAGTACATATTACCTTATAACATATACAGTTTA